AAAGCATATATAGCATCTAAGAAATCTCCTGAGATGTTAAAGTAGGCTTAGACACTGAAGGGAGATTAGAAGCCAAATAATGTTTTCAGACAGTTTCAGTCACTGTTTGCTGTAACTGTATTCTGCAAAAAGAAACTTACGTTGCCTTCCTTCTCATCCACACCTGATTCCTTGTCCTCACTGCTGTAAGTGATTCTGAGGTCAGTTATTATGGATTTGTTAAATTCTTAGTCATCATAAGGCTGTTAATCTGGGCTTTATTGTTTTATAGGGTAAGCAGGCCAGGTTCTTATGGAAGGAAATTCTGATGTTAGAGGAAGCGTGGAGAATGAATTATACAGCATGACTATTTCTCCTTCAATGAGGATTTTTACAACCCTTTGGGATATTTTAGATTTTTTTTTTTTTTTTTTTTTTTTGGTTAGTAATATCTTGAATTATTTTCTTGATCACGAAGATGTTCTTTGTTCCTTTTGAGCTTTACTGTCCAAAGGTCAGTGTTCCCAGCCTTTTTAATTTTTTTTTTTCTCTCTACATACCATGAGCACCAGCAGGTTCTTGAGAGTTTTGTGGCTGGTTGCTGTGGATTATATCTTGGCAGTGTATTTTCCTAAACTCTGTGATAGTATACATACTGTTCAGAAACGTAATTTCGGTCCTATTCTTTGCTCATATTCTCAGTTATATGGAACTTTCAGCTCTTTGTGTGATCAAACAAATTAAGAGCCTGTACGACTTGTGGGGAGTGCTTAATGTCACCAGTTGAATGGCAAAAAGCAAACAAAATCGTCCACTTATATAATTATATTTCTTTTTAATCATATTTATCTCTTGGTACCTAAATGAGTGTTTCAGTAATTTGTATGCTTTCTTACACTCTTGCATGTACCAACGGAATTAAAGAAACATTGTTGGAGACTGATAGTAAAACAAAAAGTCATATTAATCTGTGTTTGATTCAGTATTGATAGTGACAAAATCTAATGAGATTTGCTCATTCTTGGGCCAAAATCTTGTTAAGAATGATCATTTGTATTTGAAATTTCTAAACTGAATACCAAAAACAGTTCCCTTCCACTTATGAACAGAAGTCTGCTTCAGAGCTATAGGCACAAACTGATTGTCCCCCTCCAAATTAAACATCTTGCCGAATTTAAATATCCATCATCCGAATCTGACTTTTCAGAAAATACTGAATGCATATGATTGAAATTCTGTTTAGATTTTGTGACCACCTTTCTTCAGGGAAACTTTGAGATGGGACAGATGATTCAAGCAAAGAGGAATTCAGAACCAATAGCAAGGATGAGCTTTCATGCCTACTGGCTCCACATCCTTGATAAGCTGGACATTAGTTTAGAATTTATAATGAACTCAAAAATAATAAAAACATATGAATTAATTTATAATAAATTCACAAGGTTTACATATAGCTAAAAAATTAGGTTCTTGGTTCATTCATGAGATCGTAGGTTTGAGATTGGATGAGATTGGATGACAGCTTCTTCATGAGCAAGTGGTTGGTAAAGCTGAGTTTTAGTTACTACTTTGATAGTTCTAGTCCTCACCTAGATACATTTTCACTTCTGATTCTGACTCTGACATGATTTGAGCAGATCAAGCAGATCAACACTCTCGTTTTACACTATGGTCTGATGCCAAGTTACCTTTAGGCTTTTCTGTTCGTGCTTCAACATAATTTTATTCTGGATCACAAGTTGAGCAATCCAGCGCCTCTGTCATTCTTGTCACTTGGTCTGTATTTRTTGAGACTTGGTTTTATACACTGTAAACAGCACCAATGGAGCTGCCTGTTCTTTTTACATGCAAGGAGGCTTGCTATAAAAATGACTGTGAGATGATTTGTGACAAAAGAATGAGTATCACTCATTCCCGGTGCAGTGCAGTAAGTGGATGGACAGTACGTCATGCTGATGATGTCCATGTAAAAGATACATCAAAGAATGAAAGCTGCGAAGATGGAGAATATTTTGAAAGGCACAAGAGGATATTTTGTGCAAGTAGCAGGGACTAAGAGGTCTGCTGCTTTTCTTTGCCGCTGTTAGAACAGGCCACTGCCACATACATCTTGCAGTATTGTCAGCATACATTCCTAATGGGAGCTGGGTCCTGGTGCATTTGTTTAAATACATGTGTGCTTTTTCCCCCCTTCCCCTGATTTCTGATTTTATTGATGTATAGTGGGACTCCACTTGAGTAAGTGTCTATAATTATGAAGAATTTTTCCAGATTATAGCTATAGGTACAGTAAGAATTACACACTCCTTAATAATGAGGCAGTAAGGCTTGACAAATCTTTTATCACCAAATCCTGAGAATGAAGTGTCTTTGTTTCTCAAGAATTAAATACCTACTATTTTGCAGGAGGTTGCAAAACTCAGAATGATGATAACTTCGGAGTCCAAATGTTGCATCTTCAGGCAGAGTGGAAGAAGTGATGTAACCAAAGTCTTGGTTTTTGTAAGCAACTTTTTATCAGATAATGAGTGAAGGGAAGAAATAAAAGATTTTAAGATCTGTTTTTCAAGCATTTATGTCACTTTAAGCAGGAGTAGTATCAGTACATTAGGTCACATTAGATTTATGCAGTGATTTCTTGATCAGCACTGTGAGATCTAAGTTCAGACATAATATGAGTGTGATAATAAAAGTAATATTCAAACAGATTTTAGTCAGAATTGTTCATGAATGCTATTTAGTTTGCAAACTGCAACACTGCCTAGGAGATTGTTTCTATGCTGACAATTTGGACATCATTAAGATTATTCTTAAGAAGAAAAGATGTCAGTACACAAGTATGGCATGCCATACTTAAAATGCAGGAGGCTATTTAATTAAGTGCTTTTAGCTACATAGTTAAATCATTCTCTTTTGAATAGATTAGCACAAAATTATTTAAGAACTCTGTTGAATTTGTCATGTTCTGCAATTATGCTTTTCGATTCCTTGTTTTATTTCTGTTTAGTTGGGTAATCATTACTGCCTGAGATGAGGATTAATTTTCAGTTTAAAATTTCAACTTCAGGAAAGAGGTTTATGTCCTTCACCTGGTGAATGTGAGATGTAAAAGAAAAATCAATGAATCAGAAACGAGGAAGGAGAGAACTGTGAAATTGTAAGCAGTGCCCTGTCAACTCCCCTCTGCTTGCTGAGGGAGAACCACCTGGCAGCATCAAGCAAACAGGCTTGATTTTTTTCTTCTTTCTTCCATTCTTGTCAGCTTGACATTTTTCAAAGCCAAGTCTCTGGTGTTTCTGCTGATTCAGAAGAGTGCTCTGATATATTTCCTGGGCTTTACAGGTCTCCAGGATTTCTCTTAGCTTTTTTTTCTTAGGAATATCTCTTTGAGAAGCGCAAGCAACAGCGGTACAGGAGTGGTATTTTGTTTTGTTTTGTTTTTCTTTCATTTTTAAGCTGAGAGACTGTTGTGATCTATTTGGCTGCCTGTTATCAGTGCAGACAGGTCATCTGGATCTCCAGCAGGTCCTTTGGCTCAGCTCCCCTTCTGGTTGCCGCAGTAGAATGTGGACAGGAGCGCTCTGGCGGACAGCAGTGTCCCCAGGACCTGTTGTGTGTTCACACGGTGCTAGGTGAGATGATGGGAAACAGCCCATATGTTTCCCATTCGATTTCAAATCAGAGCCATCTGCTTGTGGATCRGAGGAGAAGGAGATGCTTGTGGTTGAGCAGGGAAGGAGCTTAAGGTACATGGTACTCGGGAACGGCCTCTACTCTTCCTTCAGTCTTTTGTCTTCACAGTGTCTATGTTAAAACTTACAGCTTAAAGTCTGGCACGTAGCTCTCCAGAATTCAGGAAATGAGACAATATGCTCGTGATTAATTTCTTTATTTTTTTTCTCCCTTTAATTTTCCAAGGCAAAGGATACATGAAGTCTCTAATCTCTCTGAAAATATTCCATTAACGAGGACTATCTTGTTTTCTCGTATTTTTTTGCCTTTTATTGTGCAAGTGGTAATATTGCTTTAAAAAACACAGAAGACAAAGAAATGCCTCCTGTATCATTAGCAACAAAAGCAGTTTGTATTTTAAAGGACATGTCACTTAAAAAGATAGGGGAAAAAAAAAAAAAGATAGAGGAATGGATAGAGTGGTTCAGGAGTTCAGGATCTCTGTTAAAATGAAGCCAGACTAAAAGGTCAAAGATGAAGGGACTTCTCCAATGCCCCCCCCTCCCATTTTGGTATCAAACCAAATGTTATTGACCTTCTTATTTAAAGATTGGTCTGGTAGGAAGACAGAAAGGGTTTTTAGCTTATGTTTTTGTTTTGTTTCTTTGTTGTTTATTAAACAAGTTCAAATACCACTTTTCACACAGAAACTAAGAGTTTCATTGGCAAAATGGAGCCTACAGTTTGCTCTTACCAGAACTCCCCTAGAAAGCCTAGCGGGTGCATCTGCTAGAGAAGTCGCATGTGAACGCAGGGGTGCCAGCAGCACTGTCACAGTGACTGCAGTGGCTTTCGAGGGCACTGGTGGCAAGCTTCTCTTTAAAGATGTTCTTAAATATTTAACTTTTTTTTTTTGTTTTCTTTACGGTTTACATGGAATAAGTAACGACATCTCCTGAGTACCAGATTTTCTTCCTCGCTTTTCTTTCTCAGACAAATAATAAATAGGGTATTTTAATTAAGACATTGCTTTCTTACCTGTATGGTAAACTGCCAGTGCAAAACAGAGATGGTTAGAGACCATGTCCAGAGAGTTCTCTGTTTTGACCCTCAGTAGCCTTTTCTTAACGTAGGAATGGCAGCTCCAAAAATACATACCTGTGAGGTAAACTGAAGAAGTCTGGCGTCCCCTCTGCAAACATGGAGAAGCACTTTTGTCTATTTTGATATAACCTTTGGTTCCTAGCAGATAATCTAGTGGCCATTTATGTGGTCTCTGCTGTAAGATTGGTTGTTCATCTGGCTGCACGTTTCTGATCTTCCTTTTTATTATTATTATTTTTTGGCAGATACTGAACGTCTCTATACAATGGTATTCCAAGAAATCTGCGAGCGTTTTGGAAAGACCTACACATGGGAAGTGAAATCCATGGTCATGGGTAAAAAAGCCTTAGAAGGGGCACAGATTATGCTGGATGTTCTAGATCTTCCAATGACCAAAGAAGAGTTACTACATGAAAGTAAAATGAAGCAGGAGAAACTATTCCATACTGCTGAACTGTTGCCAGGTACACTTTCCTCCCATATTTGTAAATTGCATTTACTTCAATAATAACCAATGTAGAAGTTTTTAAGGTGCCTTTCACATAAATTTCTATTTCAGATTCGGTTTCATCATTTTGATTTCACAAGTTTAACTAAAATGTGTCTTTTAGTTACCTGCTAAAGAGCTAATTGGGATACAGAAAACTTTTCTTGCATGCTTGGAAAACAGCTCCTTTTTATACATATATTTTAAAGAGAGGAAGAAAAGAAGAACAAATACTGTGTAAATATTCTTGATTTCCCTTAGTTTTATAGTCCAGGCATGCTTTAAAATGTTTGTTTGCAGCTGTGTAACTTAGCAAGTTAGTTTTCTCTGGCTGTATGTGTAGTCTGGGCTTTATGATAAGCACAAGCACACCTGTACATGTACAGGCAAATGTTTGTGGGCTTGTATTTTTTCAGGTGAGGTTTATCTCACTCTGAACGCTGAAAGTTAGGCATGGCATGAGAACTACGTGGTTGTCAATAGAGAGGGAGGGTTGCTCAGGTTATCCTAATACAGGTGAATTTAATTACCCTCCGAAGATGTTTGTTCTGACAGTCTCTACAATGTATTGAGGATAATGCTTTAATTTTTTAGATTTTGTTTATATCTGGTTTCATAATGCATTAAGAGGATAAAAGCTAAAAATAGATGGCATGTTAGGAAAAAATAAAAAGAAAATTAAAAGATACACTTTTTGGCTGCACAAGATTCTTGAGCTTTTCAGATCCCTCCAACTTACCTCGATATCTCTCTTCTGTCTTTTATATGCTAAGCTTTTTATATTCTATATTTCATAGTGACAGGACTGCATAAAGATGCAAGCCTACTTAAAATCTGTATGAAAACAAGAAAGATGAGACCAGTTGGTTTAGATTTTTTTTTTTTTTTTTTTTGTGTCAGACTTCTGGATCTAATTTTGCGGCTATTCCTTTTGTTAAGACAAACAAATCACCTATGTCTGTGATTAGCAAAATCCAGATAGACTGGAGAAGCATTATGAGGCCCTGAGATAGGTCATAGTAATGGAGCAGTACTTCACTGTAGCACATTTAGTAGTTGCCATTCAGCAGATACCCTGTGTCTGCTTTTGAAGGGTGTGATACTGTAGCTGAACTGGCTTGGACAAAAATTCAGAGAGGTGATAGAATTGTATAGCCAAATAAAACATTGCTTTGTACTTCTGCTGCCTTCAGAAGCGAATTCCAGGCTCACTTAAGCTGGGCTACTGTAGATGAGCAAACTTTTTGCTGAGACAAGCCTATAAATGCATTGATCATAGCCAGAATTGTTCTACTGATTATTCTTTCAGTTCACCTATATATGTACAATAATTTTCTTTGTTTTTGCTATATTCTAATGCAGTGCCAGTTTGAATTCAAAGGCTTTATGGCCATTGTGGGAAGCAAAGTCAGCCTTGGTCCTTGAAGTAACAGGATCTTTCCTTTACTTGTTATATTTTGCAAGTAAACAAGATACAAGTTGAATTGCCATTTATTTTGATAAAACCATATTGATACCAGCTGGCAATCTGAAATGGCACTAGTTATCGACTATTTAATTTCTGTAAAGATTGACCAAAGCTTAAATCTGATCACTAGATTTTTTTTTTATTTTTTTTAAAATCTGTTAACTTTCCTCTGACTCACATATCTTCTGCAGATGTTAATTAGTGTAATCATTGCAGATTTATTTTACAGCCTGTTGTTGTTCTTTGATTAAGATTGGACTTTATGCAGATATTGGGTAAGACCTGCATAGGGCTGCCAAAGATGTGAATGGTGGTGAGTGGTGACATTTTTGGACTTAGAATGTTCTCCGACTAGACTGAAGTTTCAGATTTGTTATGAGTAAATACAGGGAAGAGAAAATGTAAGACAACTCCCACATGCTGAGCTTCTCACTGGCTGTCTCTTGGCAGATAATTTAGGCAGGTAGGATATTCAAACAATTTTTACAGTTTTCCAAAAAATAAAATTCAATTGACTCAATTCAGTTGATTCAAAGGTTCAATTGGATTGGTGTAGAGCAATGCTAAACAACAGCCGATGAAGTTCAAAGTGATACTGAAGCAGAGCAGCACTTGTTTCTTTATAGGGAGGTCAGAGAATGATCTCTTATGTTTCATGCCAGTTACAGCAATGGTAATTGTGTTAATTTCCAAGTCAAGCAGTTTGGTCAGTGCTAGTTAAGGATGGGATGGAAGTTGCATGATCATTCAATTGCCAAAGCAGTTCTTCATCTGAGAGACTGTATTGCAGCTGTATCATCTAATACATAACAGACATCTGAGATGCTAGTGGTTGAAGACACAGGTTTGAAGATTCCAGTATGGCTGAAGTGACTTGCAATACATTAAGCTGTGGTTTCATCTATGAAGTATGTATATCTTCTTTATCATTTGCAATTTCCAGCAAGCACTTAAAAGTTTTTCACTGTTAGATTTAGTTTTCTCAGCAAATCATAGGGTAACCAAGGTTTGAGACAATATAGTAAGGAATTATCCAAGAAGTACTGACAAAGTGAGAAGGCTGCCACTTTTGCTGCTTATCTCAATATTGCTTTCAAGTACAGACATTGTCATCTGCAAGGATAATGTATCAGGCTTTTTTTTTCTGCAAACGGGGTGTTACATTGCAGTGAAGTAGGTTGTCAGACAAGTGAGGGCTGTGAAGGAATAGAAGAACAGAATGGATGGAATATATGAAAACTGCCTATGTACATTTGCCTAAACATGTACTTAACATGAATCCAGGATATACATGCAGCCACGAGAGAGAGAAAAAAAAAATGAGTTATACAACTGTCAACAACTCTTATAATTATTTCATCTGGGTTATGAAATCAATGCGATTCTTTCATAGCATTCTCTGTCTTTTTCACTCATCTCCTAACACAAAACCCGGGTGCTTAAGCATCGTATGAGCCAGGGACTGTGCACTTTCAAGAAGCTTCTACTCCTGGGAGTTACTTGGGAAAGCTGAAATATTGKTGTCACAGTACCTGTTCAGCCAGTGTAGGATGTGATGTGCAAGCTGTGTACACGTTCAAGTACTGCTGATTGATTCTTTGCAGACACGAGGAGGTAATCTAATAGTTCTATTTTATCACAAACTAGGATTTCTTTAAAACCAACTGGATTTCCTTAATTCATGCCCTTAACAGTTAAACAGACTTCCTTCTGTGTTATCTTCTCTGTTCTTTGCTATTGCCGTTTTAATGGAAGGAAATTTTATTGAATCCATGCTGGACTCTATAAGTCTGTAACCACTAGAGATTAGTTACTTACAGGCGTCAAACCGTTTGGTCTCTGTAGTAAGGTCTCTGTGGTAAGTAATAAAGGAGCAACCCAGAAATGTTTTTACCAGAAGATCACTGTTGCTATTGTCACAGGTTCTGAATTATGCTTTTATTTTTGTCATGGTCAAAGGTGTCAGGATGCCCAAAGATGGGCTTATCAATTTGGTAGTCAAGGGGGCTGTGAGCCACCAGAAAGATATTTGCTACTCTAAATTTAGAGCAGGAAAGTGAGAAAACCAAATTCTTTGCTAGTAGCCAATTATCTTCCAAGTTGGGGATATTATTTTCCCCTCCACTTTCGCAGTTTAGAGAAAGGATAACATACCATTGCAGATAATGCCTTTAAACAATATCTCAGAACAGAAAAGAGAGAGGTGGATTCAAGAGCTGTGTATCTCCGGTCTCACAAGGCTCGTAGCAATTACACCAAGTGGTAGATGGCCCCACCTCTGTCACTCTATCACCATCACAGCGGCAAGGCTGACTTCACTTGAGGATTGAGAGCGTGTGCAGATAATGAATAGCTCTGTGCTGCTGGGCTGGCAACTGCTGCAGCATGCCAGGCTGCATCAAAAATATTTTTAAATCAGTTTGCAATTTAGGGGGACAGACAGTTTCTCCTTGTGTTGTGAGATTTTGTTTTTCTTTGCTGGATACATTTCTGTGTTCAGAGACTGACAAGGTTTTAACTGTAGAACTGCCTTTATGGCCATAAAGGATTGTAATCGAATCACCTAGAAATCCAATCCAGTTGACAAGGCTCTGAATGCTAATGTTAGCTTTTCTTTGATTAAAAAGAGTGATGAAATCTTGAAAAGCTTAAAGTTTGGTCTGACATTAGATTCAATACAGGGACTATAAATGATTTTGCAAGAGATGAGCAGTCTCTTCGTACAGAGGTTATATTTATCCCTGCAAATTCCATTTGTTCACAGCTGGATATAAATCATACAAGATATGCATAATACATGCATGTAGTTAATTTAAACAGTGTGTGGAGTATTTTGATTTTCTTTAGTCTTTTTCCCAACAATAAACCTTTTATTTCAAATACAGAAGGCTCACAGGCTGCATGTTCTGAGTAATGTGTTATGGCAAAGAGAAGAGTACATGAATACAGGTCTCTGAAGACCATGTTTTTGGTCATTTGGTCATTTTTTTGTGTTTTTTTTTTTTTCTTTTTTTAATCTGAAATTGCAGAAGTGATACAAGTTAAGAGTAGTATATTTTTTCAATTATGGGCAGACAGGAAAAAGATAAGAAAATGTGGAATATAGAGGTAGTAAAACATATGCAAGTATATACATTGTTTATCATTCTGAAGTATAAAGTTAAAAAGGAAAATCAAAAATTACCATTATTTWCTGTCAAATTGAATAAACTTTTTCAGGAGTTTGGAGCATTTTATTAAATTTGACTTCTTAAGGAATAATGTCATTTGATTTATAAAATGTGATGAGTTTTAGAAATACTATGGAAAACAGTGTCATAATAGCACATAAATATTTAGACAGGGACTATCCCTGGAAAATGGTTTTAAGGCAGCATTCTTTTGGCTTCCTGAACTTTTGCACTATATGTYTGTATCGGTCAATGAAAAAGAAAAAGCCACAGTTAGCACAGAGGTCTTTTGCTGCTCAGTACAACAAATCTTACTTTTAGTTTGTTGGTTGATTCAAT